TCGGGGCGGGCCCCGCCCCCGGTTCCGGAGCCGGCTGCCGCGCAGGCGCCCTAGGCCTGCGGCCGCCCTGGCCGGGTTTCCGCTCGCCGTGGTGTCATGGGGCAGCCGCCGCCGCCGCTGTCGCCGCCTCTTTGCACGCTGCCGCCGGGCCCCGGGCCCCCGCGCTTCGTGTGCTTTTGCGAGGGGGAGGGAAGCGAGGACGGGGGCCCCGGCGACTTCAACCTCTAGTGAGTGGCGTGGTGCGCGGGGCTCTGGGGGCGCGGACAGTTCGGCGGGCGGTCCCATCTGACAGCCGCTCCCCCCACAGTGTGACCGACGCCGCGGAGCTTTGGAGCACCTGCTTCACGGCGGACAGCCTGGCGGCCCTCGTGGGTAGCGGGGCTCCTGGGCGGGCCTGGAAGCCCCCAGCACCCCTTCCTGCACTGCAGTCCACCTAGGAGATCGAGGGGGGCGGCCTGGGATTCCCCCGGGGGGCGGGGTGTCTGGACACCCTTCCCCCAGCTTTGTAGCTGTAGTCCTGATTGGCCCGGCGTCCCGGGTGGCTCTGGGTCAGGCAGTTCTGGGGTGGTTCCAGGGTCTTGAGCAGCTGGTGACCAGCCCCTGTGCCCTGTAGAAAGCCCGTTTTGGCCTGAGTGCGGCTGAGGAGATCACCCCCCGGTTCAGGTGAGCCCCTGAGCAGGGAGGAAGGGTGGGTGTGGAGCAAGGGGATCTGCACACGGCACTCAGCAGCGGTCCTTTCCTAGGGCAGCCTGCGAGCAGCAAGCTGTGACTTTCACCCTGCAGGAGGACGGAGCGTCCCTAATCCTCTCCGGGGGGCCCTCAGCACTGGACTTTGACCTCTCCAAGGTGCCGGGCCCAGAGGCAACTTCCAGGTTGCAGGCGCTGACACTGAGCCTGGCCGCCCAAGTGTGCACCTTGAAGAGCCAGCTGGCAGGTGGGGTGGGGAGGGCGTGCCCTGAGTCCTCACTAGGGCCCCCCTGCTCGTGCCTTCACTCTTGTCTTTCTTCCCCAGCTGTGGAGGTGACAGCTGCCAGCCCCAGAAAGAGCCCTTGTCTGGTGGGGCCTCAGCTCTTCTTACCAGGTAAGGCCTGTCACCTAGGACTTTGGTTGGGGCTGTGCTCTTCCCTCTGCAACTCATTTTCCCCAGAACCAGATTCAAACTCCAGAGAGAGGATGCATGTGGAGAGGGGGTTGTGGCCCTGGAATTGCACCAGACGCAGGAACCCCCTTCCTGTTCTGTTTCCCTCAGACCCGGATCCTCAGAGAGGCGGCCCTGGACTCGGGGTCAGGAGGCGGTGTCCAGGAGAGTCCCTCATCAACCCTGGCTTCAAGAGGTACTCACCGGGCGCCTGGGTGGCTCAGTTGGTTAAGCGACTGCCTTCGGCCCAGGTCATGATCCTGGAGTCCCAGGATCGAGTCCCGCATCGGGCTCCCTGCTCGGCAGGGAGTCTGCTTCTCCCTCTGACCCTCCTGCCTCTCATGCTCTCTGTCTCTCATTCTCTCTCTCTCAAATAAATAAAATCTTTAAAAAGAAAAAAGGTACTCACCCACTCACCCACCTGTCCCTCCCTCCTGTGCCCAGGGTCAAGCCCTGGACCGCTGCCTCCCCCCCAATAACACCACAATGTCACTTTCCTTTCTCTCCCAGTAAGAAGCCAGCCAGCGGTGTAGACTTTGAGAGCCCCTGAAGGTGCAGCAGAGTGTGACCCTGCCAGGAATCTGCCTGTGAGGTGGGAATAGCCTCTGAGACCCCATAATCGCCACCTGCCCATCCTGCTGTGCGGTGGGAACACACCTGCTCCTCAAACCCCTTCTCCATCAAATAAATGCTTCCTCAGAGGAAGGCATCGTTCACGCTCTGACTTCTGGGGGCTGGCTGGGGGAGAGGGGTCAGGGATCTCCCGGGGCCTGTGATTTGGCACAGGGCCAGAGTATGTAAGCAGATGCACAGCCCCCACACTCCCTGGGAGGAGGAGGCCCCAAGCTCTCCAGGCTCATCCAGCTGCTCCTGCCTGGTTCTCACAGGAGCCCAGGGCCTGGAAGGCAGGGCAGGGCTCCTCAAGGCTGGAACTCGGTTACCAGCTGTTCCAGGCACACACTTCACTCTCCCAGACCCCACCCGACAGGGCACAGTGTGGGTATCCCGCACTGTACACACACTAGGACCTGTGGAGGTCAGACGGTGGCTTGCTCCCTCGGGCAGGACTGAGGAATGTGGGCTGGCCCCACCCACTGGCCTAGAGCCCCTGGGTGCCCAGGCTGGGCTCTGCTCCCCACCCTCCTTGGCCATCCTGCTGCCCCACCCTGGCCTGACTGGTTTGGGAGCCCAATCCAGTCCCCCACCACCCCTGATAGGGTGAGTGGACGGATGGGCAGAACCACCCACTGGGTTCTCCACCCCTGTCATTCTGGGCGATCATGTGGAGCTGTGCGTTCCATGGTGGGGCTTTGGGGGTGGCAGAAATCGAGGGCCCTCTGGTCCCTCGCAGGTCAGGACACGCTCACTGGGGCAGAGGTACCTTTATGGGGCTGTAGAAGAGTGGGCAGGGGGTGGCCGTAGACGGTGGGGGAAGGGCTAGCGGGGGCGCACGGCAGTCCGGTAGGCCGCTAGGATCTCAGCACTGTACGGACACGTGTACTTGAACTCCTTCACCTGCAACGCGCTGTCCAGGTAGCGGCGGACGGCGCGCAGCTCGGCCGGTATGGGCGCTTGGCGGAAGTGTGTGCACACCGTCTGCGGGCGAGGGGCGCGACGCGGTCAGGGCCTTGTGGAGCGCGGCCCCCCCCCGCGCGCCCCGCGCCCGGCACTCACGTCCACGATGTGCAGCTTGGGCAGCAGGCTGCAGTCAGCCAGCGTGAGCTGGTCGCCGTCCAGGAAGCGGCGGCGCGACTCACGAAGCTGCGGTTCCTGCGCCCGCTCGTGCTCCAGGGGCGTGCGCAGGTAGCTGTCCAGCCTGGTGAGGGCGCGCAGCAGCAGCTGGTACAGGGCTGGGGCGGGGAGCGCAGTGAGGGCGGGGCCTGGGCCAACTCCACCCGCCCCCCTCCGCCGTGGCTCCAGACCCTCCTCACCATCGTCCTGCGTGGGCACCGGGTTCTTGATGAAGGCGGAGAACCTGTGAAAGACGTCGTTGCCCGCTGTGCTGGACTCCCTGTAGCGGGGTGCCAGGCTGGGGAATCTACGGGGAATTAGGGAATCTCTGGTCAGACCCTTGTGCCGCGCCCCCTGCCCTGCCCGACCCTCAGCGTTCTTCCTGGGCTCCTCCCTGGGGGCTCCATATTCGCCCCTCCCACCAGGCCGGGGCCCTCACTCAGGGGGCCCCAGTGTCTCCTCCAGAAACTCCTCGATCTGCAGTGTGTCCGTTTTGGCATCGCCATCGTAGAGAAGGATGGGCAGCTGTGAGCCAGGAGCAAAGTCCTTAAGCACATCCAGGGACCTGTGGGCATGAGGCAGGTGGGGAAGCCACTGGTCAGAAGGGCCAGAGACCAGGGAGTGGCTCCCCTGGAGACAGGGGGCTCACCTGCGAGTGTCCACCGTGGTGAGGGTGAAGGGCACGCCCTTGAGGAGCAGGAGCATGAAGAGGCGCTGACAAGAAGGGCAGTGTCCCACGCTCTCGCCATCCTCGCTCGCCTGGGGTGGGTGGAGTAGAGGGGGCCGGGGCAGAGAGCAGACCTAAGAATTCTGCCAATGAGGACCCTACCTCCCACTGCCAAGAGCCTGGAATGATCCAGGGCTCCAGCTTGTTTGGGCACAGCCTGGACAAGTGGTGGGTGAGAGCCCTTGACTGGGTCCCCGGGAGGTGGGGAGGGGCCTCCCCACCTCCTAGGGACACGGGGGTGGGACCCAAGCTCTGGAGCCTGGCCCCTCGACCCTCATCATCAGCACCTGGGCAGAGGCCAGGCTCCTGCTCTCCAGGTCCTACAGGCTGGTCACAAGGGTGGGGTGGGCCGAGTGAGCTGTTTTCTGAGTAATTCACCTGCCAAACTGGACAGTGACTAGCAGCACACTCTGTCCCACGCCCCGACAGTGGGGAGGAGGCCAGGGTCTGGCAGCCCCTGCAGAGGGATCCACAGATCTGGGCAGTGATGCGAGGATCAGGGGATCACCTGGCCCAGCCCCCCTCTGCTGCTGCACTGACCTCAAGCTCCACTTGGGCCTTGGCCGCCGGCTGTCGGATTGGCACCTCCCCACCTAGGGGCTTTTTCTCCAGGGGGGTTGGGCTGGGTCCCGGAGCCCAGGCTGGGAGTCGGCACCCCCACGCCCTTGGGGACAGCTCACTGGGCCCTCCTCCAGTCCTGGTCCCTCCTCCAGTCCTGGTCCCTCTTTCCTCAGCCTCTGTAGGGCTGCCTGAGCTCACCGCCAGGGAGACGGTGCAGACCCACTGCCTGCCCCAGAAGCAGAGCCCCCCCCAGAGCACACTCATCCCCGAGGCCGCCCTCCCGGCCCAGTGGCACCTTGACAAACAGCTGGAGCTTGGCAGTCTCGGCCATGGCTGGGGGCTGTGGTGGTGGCGAGGCAGGGGTGGGGACCTGGAGAGCCCTTTTAGGCTCCCGGGGTGCCCCGCCCTCCCCAGCCCAGGGCCCGCCCTGACGAGTCACCGTGCAGGCGGTTAGGGCTCCGTGTCCAAGCATGAAGGTGTGACTGTGGGGGTACTGAGTGTGCAGGGCTGGCGGTGCTGGGGACCCCAGCACCCCAAGGGGGTGTGCGGGATGGAGGTGGAGACCAACGGACTCGGAGGTGGGGAGAGAAGGGTGCCAGTCTGGGAAGAGGGCAGCTCTGGATCAGAATCACGCCTGCATGAACCCCACAACCCTCCTTGCAGGGAACACCCTGTTGTCTGTCGCCCCCCCCAGAAAGCTGGGGTGGGGTAGGAGAAAGGAACAGCCTGGCCCCAGCCTCAGTTTCCCAATCTGCCTACCTCCTGGGAAGGGACGCCCCTCCCATCACCGAGTTCGGCCAGGCAGAGCCCCGCCCCCCCAGTCCTGCCCACATTCCAGGAGTGCTGCTGGCCTGCTCAGGTGTCCCTGGCCAGCCGACCCCACACCCCCTGCCCTGCCGATGGGGTTCCAGGCAGGCTTTTCCCCTTCTTAACCTTTCAGAAGAAGCACCGGGACATTTAGAAGCCACAACCTCCTGACCCATGGGTCCACCCGCCCCCGCCGTTGGCTGGAAGGAACCGACGCGGGGACATTGTGTGCACACACCCCCAACCTTCTCCGCCCCTGCCCACCCCCCGCAGCTCCGGGGGGCAGCGTGCCCCGAGGGAGGGGCCTACGAAGGCTCCGCACCGCCCAGTGGCAGAGCTGGGGATCTGCCCCGCACCTTTGCCTCCTCCCCCAGGGCTCTGCCGGGACCGCAGACCGTTCAGGGCTCCCGGACACAGACTGGAGCTGGGCACCTGGCTGCCCTCCCGGGGCACCAGTATTTCTACTGCTTCTCCACGACGTGGCGGGGGCTCGGCCTGCTCATCTGCTTCCCCCGCGCGCACCGCAGCCCCAGGGAGGGGCCCCAGGCCCCTCCACAGCTGCAGGTGCTCACCAGCCGTCCCACGGGTATTTCTGTGTGTGTAAAAATACCCTTACCCGTATGTAGAAAATCGGAAATGAACCAGTGACCAGGTGGTTCAGAGAAAAGGAAATCTACCAACACCCAACAGGGTGTGTGGGAGTCTCACTTCACACTTATTTCAAGAGACAAACTAGGACAGGACCGGGTTTAGGGCTGCAATGGGCAGGTAACCATGTGCTCAGCGAGGGTGTGAGCACACATCGCTCGGGTGGCTGTGGGCTGGTAAGACTGTCCAGACGGTTCAGCCCCCTGGGAATCAGCCCCAAGTGTCCCTGTAAATGCATGAGGGACATATACACAGATCCGTGCTGTCCTCTGGGTGGCAAGCACCCCGTCTGTGGGAGAGTCCTGATATGTTCACAGAAGAAGACAGAGGAGGTGAGTCTCTCTAGTCTCAGGTTTGGTGGTGTCGTGGCTGAATTGTGCCCCCCCTCCCCCACTTCACGGTGGAAGTCCTAGCCCCCAGCACCTCAGAATGTGACATTAGGACAGAGTTTTTACGGAAGTCATCATGTTAGAATGAGGTCATCAGGAGGGGCCCTACCCCAGTCTGTGTCCTCATAAATGGGAGATTTGGACACAGACACACATGGGGGGGGCGCAACGCGAGGATGGAGGCAGAGGTCGGGTGGTGTCCACAAAGCCAGGAACACGGAACGTTGCCAGAAAACCACCAGCAGCTGGGAGAGCGTGGACCAGACCCTTGCCCACAGCCTCCGAAGGAACCAGCCCTGCCCACACCTTGATCTTGCACCTCTGGCCTCCAGACTGTGAGGGAATACATTTCTGTTTTTTGGTTTTTTTTTTTAAAGATTTTATTTATTTGACAGAGCGAGCACAAGCAGAGGGAGAGAGAGAGAGAGAGAGAGAAGCAGGCCCCCTGCTGAGCAAGGAGCCCGATGCGGGGCTCGATGCGGGGCTCGATCCCAGGACCCTGGGATCATGACCCGGGCCGAAGGCAGCCGCTTAACCGACTGAGCCACCCAGGCGCCCCTACATTTCTGTTGTTTTAAGCTGCTCCGTTTGTGGTACTTTTCGGCAGCCATAGCACACCAAGACCAGTGAGAGAAAAAACCGACCCAGCTGAAAAACACTGCATCAGTATGTGTCCGTCTGGGTCTGCTCCTATCCTTCTGAAAAAAGCCAAGAGGACGTCCTCAGACCTTTTGAATTTCCTATCATGATTTCGTAGGCAGTGTTTTTAAATGAATGAGACCAGAAGCTCACAGTCACCGACTTTGGCCCCTGACCTACGCAGGGCCCGAAGCAAACCTCCC